GGCTGCAGAGACTGTGATGTGAACTCGGAGATGAGCCATTTGGGGGGGAACTATGATGCGCCTCAGGTGCCGACGAAGGGGAACCCCTTGAAGTGACACACAAATCGATTGATTTTGGAAATCACTCGGCGCCTTCCCCAAGCCAGTAACTTGTCTAGCTCGAACAAAGGGTTGTCTTGCATTCATTCGAACTGGTCTATCCAAGCTGTGGGCTTTCAGTACCCACCCTCACCACGGGGGGGGTCAAGGGGCCAAGCCGCGTACATGTCCGCAAGTTAAACGGGGGTCTATCAAGCTGTTTTGTCTGGCCGTTTGTTTGGGTTGAGAATGTCGGTCGCGGCGCCGGGACACCCTTGTTCTCTTTTCTCCCACCAACAATGAACAGAATGGACTAGGACAAAGGTCAACCTAGCAGGGAAGACCTGGGGCAACGGGATGAACCCCTAGTAAAGCACTATAGGAGATGTTTACCCCATACGATCGACCCAACGCTCCTGAGCATAGGCTTCTCATGCAGAAGTCTCCAGGCTCTCAAATCTTTAGGTTGAGGCCTGAAGGCTGGTTTGGAGAGTTGGGGTTGACCAATATTGGATTCCACAACTTCTTTGAGATGAGTTCTACGGCAGATGTGAGCCAAGCCACTTGCCTGTCATTCTTGCTGTCCCAAAATGATATGGGTGTTCATCATCTGGGGCATCAATCTATGTTCAATTGATTCTTGCACTCAACTGGATTTTTGGGTCAAGTTCATTTGCCTGGACCCCAAACTCCTCGCGACCCGGGTGAACTCCCCAAACTCGTCCAACCCGTCGGCACCAGCTCTAGATCACAAGGCAAGGAGGGGTCACTCTCTCTAAGGCCACGACGCAGGGCTCGCAGTTTCAGCGGGCATTCCGTGGCATTCCGATTCTTCTTGGCAGGATGAACTGGACAAGAAGGACATGTTCTTTTCAGAGGGACTACCCAGCCAGGGTGTGAAAATCCGTTTTGAACGTGTTTGAACTGCGAAACTGCTGGACTCCGCAATTCGAAGGTTCGTGAAAGGGGGCGCGCAGCAGATGAGAGCGTTGTAGACTTTTAGACTTTTAGGTCACTGGGCTTGAATCAAGTCTTCAGATCAAAAAGGATCTTTGCAGGGTTTGGATGGTGTTTTTAGGCGCATATGCTAGATGGTTTTTCGGACCACTACGACAATCTATCCAAAAGGTGCTGGACAATGCTGGACATCTACGTGTTTGTTTTGTTTCGTAGATAATTTTCAGACCACTTAACAAGAGTTTAGACCTTTTTGTAGCCCGCTCTTGCAGCCATACATTACGGTACTTGTTCCGAGGTGCACATGTTGCAACGCGACTGTGTACTGAAGCGATCCCAGTCCCCAAGTGAGCCAGTGGTAAGGAGTCCCTGTGGTTGCCAAGTAGCTGCCAACCCTTCTCATTGACAGACATTGAAGATTCACGGTTCTTTTTGAGTGCTTCAGTGTTTTACAGAAGCACCTAGAGCCTTTGTTCTTTAGCAGGGGCCCCTCCCCCGCCAAGTTCTCCGCGCTTGCCATGGCGTGGAGCTTCGTGGCCTTGACGTGAAGGGTTCACCATTGGCGTCGTCGAGATGGTTGGCTCACTCAGTTGGAGCACATCTCTCACTCGTCGAGTTGGTTCCATGGAGTTGGGTGCTTTGGTGGGATAATGTTTTATAAGGGTCTCCCTGATCCATGCATATCCATGCACTTGGGGGTATTGTTTTGCTCCGACTTAAAACTCCTGAATGAGATGTTTGATGATGTTTGCTTGGTGAATGACGACGGATTACTTTCAGAAGATCTCGCACTTGGACATATCCTGTACTAAGTACTACTCCACTTCCCTGAGATCAGCATGATTCGCATGATTGGGACCACGAGTAGTATATAGGATCCATTGTCTACTAGTAGCGATATGTAGCGATCTGGATCGGCCTGGCATCGCCCTTTTTCTTCCAAAAAGCGTTACTGAGTGAGATGACGATTCACGCAGGTATCTCAGATGCAGATTCGGAGTTTGCTCAAACGCAAGCCACCGTTTTATGTAGCCACCCAGACGCCCTGTTCGCAGCCCCTTGGTCCATCAAAACCTAGGGATTGGCGACCCCAGACCCCTGCAGATGAGTCGTTCTTGCCGCTCCAAGGCTGCCCCAGAGGATGCTTTCCCACCTTTACCGCGCACCAAGCTGCAGCAGAGGAGCCGCTCTGTTGACTTAGGATGACTTAGGATGTTATATTAATTTGAGTAAGATTTGAGTAGGGCGTACAACAATCCCTTTGCGGGCGAGAAACAATTGAGAAACACAGGTGTCATTTGGTTTCCATTCCTGTCGACCATCGAAGGGTCGCGCTCTGTCGCGGTGTCAAGGGTTACGCTCGCAGCTTCCGTCGCCAGGAAGCCTGAGACTCCCATCCTCCTGAAGGCTGAACACGTGGAAACTTTTGGGTGGGCTCGTTTCGCTGACAGTCTGCATTCGCTCAGGAAGACTGCGTGACTTGGGATTGAGAAGACCGGTTGCTGCTCAGGTTGCTGCTCAGGTAGCTGGTGCCACTGACCCTACCCGGATGTTCAACCACACACCTTCAAGCAGATGGGGGGGTGTTTCGCCAATCAGACGAAGACCCAGTTACGACCGGGCAGTTGGACACTGAAACACTGCGGGGTAGACCCGCATGAAGGAGCGACACGTGGGGTGCTGTTCTCAGATTCGACCAGTATCTACAACTCTTTCTGTTCCAGAGAGGCAACACATGGCAAAACCAACGAATACAAAGGACCTTTTCATCCAGCTCTATCCAGCTCTGTCCGAGCCAAACTGCCGTGTAGACCCATGTAACAACCCACGTCATGCGACGAGACGATAGATGACGATAGATGGTTGATGAAAAAGAAGTACTCAGGACTCAGGCCAGCCTGGAGAGGTTTACGGCCAGCCATGGCCAGCCTGGGCGCTTCTCCTCGCCCAGGCGGCGCCCACGCGGCCGAACGAGCCGGTGGAAGCGGCGGAAGTGGATGGCCCCTCGCAGGCCGGGTCAGGTCAGGGCAGCCCGGACTGGTGGTCTCCAATGAGGCCAAGTGGACTGGTGGTGAGCGGACTGGTGGTCCCCAAGTGCTTTCAGATGAGCAGAATCCCTCGAATTCCCCCTGAATTCCCTATACATGGTGTAATCATGTGTAATCAATTTCTACTAGGTGTTCGCTGGAGCTCAGTTGTTCCTTTTTTGCTGACAGACTCGTCCACCGAGAAAAAGGTGCTTGTTTCGGTCCCAACTCCACAGACTTGACCGAAGAAAGCTTTCTTCGCAGCTTGTCTTGGCTTTTGAGCGCCAGGAAGCCAGCTTCGCGCCAGGAAGCTGGGATGCACAATTGTTTTTGACATTGTTCTCTGTAATTTTTGATCTGGAAGATCACTATTGACAGACCACCCTCCAACGTCACAAGATGTCACAAGTACACAGTATATAGAGGCATGGCACTGGCTTGTGCACGCGGAATACTCCTCGATTGTAGACGCGCAAGTTGGAAGGATGAGAAGCCTCTTGAGGAGTGCGCGCCACACACACTCTCAAATGCCAGCATCAATATGTCAGCAAAACAGCCTGACCAACTTTCTCGAAGTTGCCCAGAACTTGCCACGGAATCTGCTCCGGAATCTGCTCAGGAACCTGCTCCGGCACTTGACCTTGCTTCAGAAACTTCCCCGGAACCTGCTCCGGAACTAGCTCCCAGACCTTGCCTTTATCTCATGCATGTAGGGAGACACTCTCCAAGCAAAAGTTTAAACCCGAGGGTAAGATTGAGAGCAGGAAGGTGCCATTCCAACGGTGCATGCCTCTTGTGAGCCACCCGAAGGTAAACTTTAGAGGAGGAAGATAGGAGGAAGGTGCAACGCTCCATATCTTTTGTGCATACTTTTTGTGAGCCACCGCGAGATTAAGAGGAGGAAGGTGCCATTCCAACAGTGCATACTTTTTGTGAGCCAGTCGAGGGTAAAATTTAGAGGAAGGTGCCATTCCAACGGCGCGTATCTCTGTGTGCGCAAGTGAGTCGCTGCGTGCGCAAGTGAGGTGATTTTTTGCGTGCGCAAGTGAGACACTAGCCGTACATAGATGTTCCAAGTTGATTTAATGTTGTGACCTTGGACCTTCAAGGGGCGCCCACTGAAGAACCCTACGTAGTGTGTGGGCTTCCATTGGTGACCCTTTTGAAGATGCTGGTAGTATTAGCATGATTCAACGAGCTGGTGGTTTGTTTGGAGGGCCAACAAAGGGAACCAGGATCTGGCGCGAGCCTTCCCCTCGGAGACTTGAGTGAACTGCTGAGCTGTACAACCCAAACGAGCTGCAACCAACACCCGGACACCCTGCGGTTTAGTGGGGGTGAAGGATTTTCTACGAGCTTTAGTCGAAGGTCAAATAGGTGTGGATTTCAATAAACAGACCCCCAACCAATGGATAGACTGACTGGTCTGAGTTCCTTTTTCCAGGGGGGTACTTGGGAGGCAGGTCTCCCTTCTTGAATACACACCCAAATGGACTGATGTAAATTAGTAAACAACTGCTATTAGTAAAACTCAGTTTGCTATAACATCCAACTGGGTTTATCTTGGGATGTCCAGGGTTTGTTTGCCCTTTTGCAAAGCTTGGATTTGGGCCAAGTGGTTGGGTGCCAGTGGACAATGGCATGCAATGCAAACAACAGACAAGAGGGATTATTTAATCACACACTTCATTTTTCTGAATTGATCTCCCTTCCTATCCCTTCATGAAAGTCTGAAAGCAGCACCGGAAGTATTCAGGACATTCCTGAACTGTTTACTGGGTCAGAGCTTTTAAACGAATAGTCATTCATGGGTTGTTATATCGTGGAGTCATCCTTTATGATCCTTTATGTGAAACTTGGTAGCTTTTATTTGGAGATCAATTTAGAAGCAGTCACATGATGTCACATCATGATCTCAACCAAGAGGCTAACTGGGACGATTTGCTAAAAAAATAGGCCTTCAAAAAGGGGACCCGACCCAACCAGCTGCGCCCGTCGCCCGCTGCCGAGGCGAGTCCAGCACGGCTGCACCAGCGGCGGTGGTGGGTGTGGAAGCCCAGTCGTAAGGACCCTCCTGGTTGGGCAAACCAACCAGGTAACCAGATCCAACAACAGTAAAAAGATGTAAGAAACAACTGTATAGGACAAGGGACCCATCGTTTTTTGGGTTCGCATGGTCAACTGAACACCATCCTGGGTCAACCAGGTTGTTTGTGTGTCCCGCTAAGTCCGGTTCCACCGACGATTTTGGGCACCACCAAAGTAGACGAAATTCATGAACTCGGATCACCTAGTGAGAGCATTTTTTTGTAAATCGTCGACCATCCGGGATACCATCCGGGTGTCCCAGGACAACCATCGAAGCCGTTCGATCTGGGTAGAGAGGAGAAGCAACGTGCGATGCTTAGGCCGCCTTACTAAGCATCATGATTCAATGGGCCTTGGTATTCAATGGGATGATATACTCAATCGACAAAACCAGGATATGACCTACTGGCGAAACTTGCATCGTCTGAACGCATCCCAGAGCCCTTCATCCATTGGTTGCGTGGGAAGTTGGGTAGAAAAGCCGCTCTACAGAGAAAAGATACCACGTGAAACCGAATCTCCGCTGCAGCATGCCAAGTAAGGACCAGCTAAACCAAAAGTGCTAGAATTGTTACACCGTCTTCCAAAATGTACATTTTTGAAAAATACATACTCCAAAAAAACAAGTAGTGTTTCTTTTAAATAAAAGTTACATTCTTCCTAAATACATGCTCAATTCGAATTTCTCCGGGTTGATTATCTAGTTTTCATCATCAGCAAGCATGGCTGCCCCGTCAACCAGTTCCGAACAACTCCAGGCACGGCTCGGTAGAGTCTCCATATGGGCCCAATGGCTATAACATGTAGTAAATCATTGAAATGCCCAATACATGCTCAAGTAACACCATTACATGCTCCTGATATCCGCTCAGAATCCGGTTTTTTTCCGCTCAGAATCCGGGTTTTTCCGCTTCTAGTCCGGGTCCCTATTTTCTCCAGGTCTCAAAAGTTATTTCTCTGGGTCAATACATGCTCAAGAAAAATATACATCTGTTATCCAATTATTGCATATGATATCAAGTGATCAATTGGTCTATATGCACAATGGGAAGGTCTTCTTCCACCGAGGCGGCACCATAAGGGATATCGCGTTCACCATTTTTGCTATTACATGTATTGCATGCTATTACTCAATACATGTTGTTGTTTAAACCTAATACATACTCAAGATAAAAATTGTTACACCAAAATCAAAAATGTTCATTTTTTTTACAAAAATGTACAATTTCTGGTTGATCCGGTTAAGCTGGGAGGTGAGACAAGACGGTCCAGATGGTGACCCTACCTGTAAGGGGTGAGGTATGTGAGGTTGGGTTGACCTACCTGTATACGTCTTCTAGCCGGCTAGACCTTGGTGACCTTGGAGGACCAGGGCTCCCGGATTTGGGACCCCACCCCCACAGACCCACTCGACTCGACTGTTTTGGTTTTCCCAAGTCTACCTGCTCCGTTCCAAGTCGCACCGCCAGCGCGACAGTGCACCTCCAATGGAGAACAGTCGAGGAGGAACGGAACAGTCATCGAAACAAGGAGGGGAACCCCATCAAGAACCATCAGCTGTTTGCGTTGCCGACGGGTGGGCCGTGACCCTCCGTGTCGAGCCCGTCGGTGCAAGACGCGACACGAACGAAGCGGAGTGCAATGATGGGCAGAGTTCCACATCCCTGAGGAACACAGAGGCCCGTAAAGGCCGGATTTCAAGGAAGATGTGGATTGCAATCGAAAGAGAGCCCAGGCCTCTAAATGAGATGTGATCAAGGTGCCCTCCTGCACCAGTGAGGAGAAGTCAGAGACTATAGTCCAGGTCGACTGATCAAACCAAGAATGCCCAAACCCACGTCCTTCAATAGCTTTTCATCTCAGTCATGAGTCACGTCCACACGTCCACACACAAAGTCCTGTTTCATCATCATCATCATCATCATCATCATCATCATCATCATGATCATGAAGTCGCTTCATGTCGCTTCCACACCGACGTCCTACGGTCCGATGTCCCACCGTCCTCCACCGTCCTTCACATCCGATCGACGTGCCGTCGACCACCGCGGCGCCCAGGGACCGCGACCGCACTGCCGGAGCTCGACGTGCCGAGCCCGAGCGCCGCGCGGTGAGCGGTGTTCAACCGGTGTTCAGGGCTGCACGGAGCGCCGTGGTCCAGGCGGAAGGAGTCCTACATGATCCCTGGAAGTCCAAGACCAAAAAGGGGTTTGGTGGTGACCCGAAAGGTCGGAATGTCCTTTACTTCGGTGCAAAATAGAATCTTTTTCGGATGAACAGGGAGAAATTGGTTGAATGATCCAGGTGGGGTGCGATGTAATAGATTGTACTGTAATAGTAACAGTTGGTAAAAGAGGATCAAGATGTTTGAGAATGGCGTGCAACCTAACCATCATCATCCACTGGAAGTCTCCGTGTCGAGGCCTGCCGGCATGACGTATGCAGCAGCTTCGAAGATTCGGTGTGTGTGTGTGTGTGTGTGGTAACTAATGGGCCAAAACCAAACTGCTGGTTTCAAGGCAAAAGTTACCCTGAAAGCCCAGGTTTGACGCATTTGCCCCCCATAACAAAGTGGTTTACATCAGGGTGGACTCAAGTCATTCATGATGTTCACGAGTCAAGTCCCGATAGTTCTTGGAATGATGTTCACCGGTTCTTCTTCCACCCACGTTCCGAACGCCTTCATGCATTCAGCCTCACCGGTTCGCAAGGCCTTACTCCGCGGTGGCTTCCGGCCGAACCCGGTGACCGCTGTTCGGGGGGTGACCGGCCGTCTCGGCCGCCAGGGCATGGTGATGTTGGCCTTGAAGAGTCCCAAGGAGCGGAGCTTCTTGCTGAAGCTCGAGAGCCCGGGGCACCCGGGACGTACTGGCGCGTCTGGCCGGGCCGGTTCTGGCCGGGCCGGTCCGCGGCGCGGAGCAGGGTGGGTCTTCTGGAACAAAGGGCGGGTCCGGTCTTGTGGTCTGGTGTCCTTTGCCCCGAACTGGGTCAACCATGGGTAAATCCCGCATGGGGCCCTTCGGAATGCGTATTACTTTTGTCCAGGTTACCCTGGACAGTGGATCCAGGTCGAATTGGTTTTACCTGGCAAACGGCAGATTGGTTTGTACGGGTTTCATGCGTGGATGCCGAAACCTGACGTTTTGACTCACCGGAAAAGGACAGACATTGGGAATGGGATTGGAACCTTCTTCGCCCAAAAGTTTTGGCTTCCCGCCTTGGGCCTTGAGATAGAGATATTCTGGATAGGTGTGGATATGTGTGGATTACTGAAATCATCTATATATATATAAACTAAATATGACCATGACTGTCGAGTGTGTCCCAGTACACCTGTAGAGCCGTAGCCGTCAAAGATGACCACCACTCTCGGAGCCTTTGCTGGGCCCATCATCCACTGGGCCCTGGTAGTGGATAGAACGGATATACCAAACATAGCTAGTAATTACAATTCTAATTAAATTCTTATTGTTACTAATAGTAAGGCACTTGTTCCTATTAGCTTCTTGTTACTACTAGTAAGGCACTTGTTACTAGTAGCGATGCACTTGTTACTAGTAGCTTCCTACCCCCAAACTACGATGGTGTTTTTCCATGTTTTGTTTTCCCCCTTGTTTGGGTCGCCTTGTCAGGGTCAGTTTCCGCAGAGATGATCACGAGACGAGACCAGACATCATGGTGTGTGTCTTTTTCGGTCGATCATGGGCTGACCATGAGTTAACTGTCGATTGGAGGATGATGACAAGGATTCCAGGATGATTCCATTACCTTTGATCTCTATAACCATCTAAAGCTCACCACCGATGGGTTGCGAGTTCGGATGCGTTCGGAGCGGCAGCCAAGTTCTTTTCCTTGTCGTTTTATCGGAGTGAAGATCCCATATTTAGGCTGGTTGATCCGATGTCCAAGCAAGGATATGCCCTTTTCACTGACAGATATGCATCGATGTGCAATCAAGCCCAGCTGGTCAAGGACCTCATTTCGCATTTCACTGGATCGTGTCATACTGGTCAAGTGTCTAAAAGTACTCGGACGCAGCCGAACCAGGCTGAAGCCTTCCCGATAGGGACGAATTGCTTTGGGTCTGAGTCCGTCTCACTCTGCAAACTGCAGCGGCCAAAGGCCATATCATCAACAACCTCCAGAGTGGGACGTCTGCGTCTGAGTGTTCGAAAGCCGCATGCGAGGCGGAGATCGGAGATACGGATTCGTCTCCAATCTGCAGAGATTTCGGAGGACACGGAAGCAACTCATGTTGACTGTTGATGAATAAAACCTCCTAGCCTAGAGATGTTAAGCCATTCTGGTAGGGTTATTAATTGACAGCCAACATATATATATGGGCCTTGCAAAGCTGTAAAAGCGAGTGATTCGGTCCGAGCCTATATATATATATATGCACTATACATTATGATTTGAAGCAGTTGTGAACTTCCGCATCTCTGTCGTCTTGGGGGCATGAGCCTGGGTCGCCCCAGAAACTCTCATGAGGGTCTGGATTTATTGTTTGATTGATTGATTGATCAAGCTGGATCTTACTTTCCTTGATAGCTTCTGTCATCGCGCGATATAGCACCGGCCTGGGGGAGTGCAACGTGCCTGCGAGGTTCAAAGGTGGGTTCTGCATTCAATTTGGACTTCACCTCATTACCTCCATCACTCGCAACGAGGTCATCAGTCAAATGTGGGAGTTGTCGCTCCTCGATCCTCTCCATCACGAAAGCTGTCGGCGATCCGAACGGTGGACCTGACGGACCTTCCGGGTGTCCGAGATCTCTCAGTAGTGTGTGGGCTTCAGGCAGTGACCCCTTGGAGGGTGCTGGTCATAACCCATAACATCCCATAACCTTTAAGGCTTTATCAATAGCTTTGTCACTTATCACATCAAGGAACTTGCCGACTCATCCAGACGTCAGGTCCCCCTCCTCCGACTCATCCAGACCGGACTCCGACTCATCGTCCTGCTCTTCGTCCTTTCCAGCATCGAGCGCATCAAGCTCACCACGCCCATGCCTCCGAAGCATCGGAAGTTGGCCCGGGGCCCCTGGTGGGAGAGCTGAAGGGTGGAGCGTGGGATGGGTTCACCCCACCAGAGTAGAAGAGGTGAGGGTAGCTAGGCTAGTAGCTAGTAGCTAGTAGCTAGGCTACTACTTAGGATGCTGGAGAGCTAGCTGCTGATTTGGTTCCTAGATTAGTAATTGATCTGTGCATACATTGTGATAATACATCTTGTACATGTGTCTCATGTATTGTCACACTAATTTAGATGTGATTGTCCTATGTGGATATTGGTTTATCCTCTGGTACCCCCACAGATGTGCAGGGGGACCGGACGCGGACCTTGCGGACGGACACTTCGAGTTCCGGGTCTGTGCGGGTCGGACACGGTGAGTTCGAGGGCCGATGTCCCAAGGGCACCGAATGTTCCGCAGCAAGCTGCACAGAACTGGTTTCAACATCGCAATGGCAAGAGGAATTCTTAGACTCGTAATCTCCAAGTGATGGATCTCAGATCCGGAGCAGATGGGATCCTTCAGATAGAACCCTTTCCTTTCCTAAGGCACAGATCGGGGGGGGGTAGGCACGCCAGACCAGTGGGATCCTCAGATCCCGTGAAAACGTCCATCGGTGTGTCTGTGTGCTCTGTGTGTCTGTGTGGTCCGACTGGGGTTGCTCGAGTTTTTTCAGGAAGAGATGATAGGAGATGATAGGCGAGCACGAAGGAAGAGATGATGTTGCAAAATATAGCAATTAGCACATTTCTATACATGTTGTTGGAGGGTTCTTCCAGACTCATGTGCACATGTCTTGCAGATGTCCCACCATTGGCAATCGGAACACGTCGGTTGCGAGGTCCCGAGCCACGGGGTACCGGTGGTCTATAGACACCCCCTAGTACTATGGTATGTTCCTTCAAAACACCATGCCAGCACCTTCAAAGGGGTCACCAATGGAAGTACCTACACCACTAAGTGACCTCCAGCCAGGACACCCCTTGAAGGTCCAGGTATGCCCTTGAAGTCCAGGCCAAAGACTCTACCCTAAGAATCAAGGACCCTCAAAGGTGAAGGTTTTGAGGGTCCAAACCCCTGCTATGCAGGGTCAAAACCCTCCATAGGAGGGTCCAATGATCCTTAGGGTAAGATACATATGTCGCACCACCGAGGTGTTTCGAACATGTCTTATCGGGTCAAGTCGCGACTTCTGTACAAACTGAACCCTGTGAAGTTGGTCCGACAACCGACCGCCATCGTGTGGGTTGAGAATCAGGCCCACCACTTGCTGATGTAGATTTCCAGGCTCCAATTTCTTGGAAGGTGACCTCCTCTAGATGTTTTGATGGCTTTGATGGCTTTTCCGCGTTTTTCCACGTGACGACCTCTTTGGGGCGTAGGGTTTGTCGTTTTTTGTTGGCACATATGGAAAGCTGAAGGCAACTTGGGGACTTGGGGACTTGAAAAGAAAACGGACACATTACGCTCCATGGAAAGGATAGGAGGGACGGATGGGCGGGGTGTCAATGTCGAGCGCTCTTGGAATCTGTACAATCGGACTGTGATCCGGTTGAAGAACCCTACAGACCAGCCTACAGGTACCCTAGTAGGGTCATATATAAAAGGTCACTTAACCTCTCGTGGATTCCTTTTCTGGTGCAACGGCACCAGGCCCTGCAGTGAGACCCTTTTTTGAGCTCAATGCCACGCCACCATCGACCAAATGTGAGGTGGATGTTGAATACGCGTTGCTGAAGCAGTTGAACACCACTAAGAAAAATACAGAGAGAACGCAAAACAGCGATGTGATGCTCGGTGAAGATTGCAACACTTGCAAGAATGAATCAAGTACCAAGGGCCTCCGGTTTGGGGTGTCTAATGATAGCTCCTTAGAGTCGAGGTTCAGGGGTATCCATTCACCATCCCGAAACCGGGCGCCTGGTCACCGGACCTCTTTTCACCTTCCTGGTGGGACCACCCCACCAGCGGGGCGGGACCACCTAGCCCTGACGTGACGTGCCCATGGTAGTCGTGCACCTGGATGTAGCGAGGTGCACATGGTCTCCGACTACTTCGGTTTGCACAGGACACAACGTACGCGGTACGCGGTGCGCGAGCTGCTGATGCAGAGATGTGGGGGGTAAGAACCCTGTGAGGGGCTGCAACTTGCTGATATTTAACCACGGGGACTGTTTGAGCGAAGATTGAGTGGGGGGCTTGCAACTTTGAATCAAGTGTTGGAACAGGTCTGATACTCTTGGGGACCTACTGAACTTCAGTTGATTCCATCTTTTGAGGAGTGTACTTTAATTGGAAATTCTATACCCAAAAGCGACCACAAGGACCAAATAAGCCGCCTCTGCCAAGATCAACGGCCGCAGCAGAGGCTTCGCTGGGCTTCATAGTTCGAGGAAGAAACAATCAGTCCAAGAATGCGTTTTGCTTTAGATGATCATTTATATACATTAATTTACAGGATACCCCTAGTTGTTGGGGGGGTGAAAAGGACTCTCTCAGCCGCCATGTTTTCAGGATCGAACGGATCGCCCGTCGAAGACTTCCATGTTGGACTCATGAAGCAACCAGCCAGGAGCTCGCCGGAGCTGGGAGTCATTGGGGCAACCACTAGCAACGGGGTAAAACAAATCAATTGAACTTGCAGGGAGTGTAGGCCTGTAGGCTTCCAACAGCTTCAAATCCGCCAACTAGGACATCTCCTGCCATTCATCCCATTTGCATCCTGTTGTACAAAAGAATCTGATTAGTTCTGGCATCCGACACCTCTGGAAGGTCTCCCTGTCCATCCGGCCGCAGGATCGTGGACAAGGAAGAAGGTGAGGAGAAGAAGGCCATGGGAGACGTGGCTGCGGGGGGAGGGGTTGCATTGGAAGAAGTAACGTCGGTATGGATTCCTATTACCTGTAACAGTCGGCAAACAATTATATATTACGATTTTAGAGAAAGGCCTTTACTAATGATCATCATCCACTGTTACTGGTAATAGATGGTAATGGGATACACCGAAGGTATGGAGGAACATGGGATAGGAAACCATCCAGACCTTCCACAATTTCCTTGGAGCCGCTGTTTCATTTTCCTCAAGACACCATCCAATAATAACACCCACATCTGGGACATTTGGCACAAGCGCGTCAAGTGATGCCGGACTTTTTGTTCATCCACAGAACCACTTGTTTCAAGGGCCTAAGGCAATGCATGTTGTGTTCTTCTTTTGGGGGGGGGACCATGGGGAGTATCTAGATGATGTGTCCTTTTGGGATCCTGCACTGATGAGAAGACTTTGACGATCACAGCCAGAGACGGGTACTCCATGGTGTGAGGCCGCCAAGGCCGCCTCGCATCCAAGTCATACATGGGAACTCAGCCGGTGGTTTCAGATATATTAAGCTTTTCCGGCCCATGTGAGCTGCCGGTCCATGTTAGCTGCCCATGTTAGCTTGGTGGATTTGCCACATTGGAACACCAAAGACCACCGGACCACCCAACAATGAGACCGCCCAAATCGACCAGGAACCGAGAGAAGGTCCAACCAGGAACCTTGAGAAGACACACATGAGGCATGTGCAGCGTTCACCAAAGAGAAGATCCAGGGTCAAAACCTGTGACATTTCACTGCTGCCGCGGGGCTCAAGGAGCCAACTTGGCCATCGGTGGCGGCCAGGGTTCTCCCTGGATAACCCTAAACCCTCTTAGTTCAGATCGCCAGGTTCTGTGGCTCCCTGGTGCTCCAGGATCTCAAAGAGAGTGGGGAGACGATTGGACACTGGACCCCTAGCCTCATTCAGATTGGGCCCCCCCGAAAAAGACTCCGTCTTCGCTCCACCATCTTTGGTTCCTGTTGCGGAAAGCCACCAAATCGCCCGGTGTCACATGCCCGCTGTCCCAGGGTGGCTGGAACGCCCCCCTGTGCGACTCCGGGTGAGGGGAAACCCTCGCGCTGGGCGGACACGCGGTCGCTATGGCTGCGTTGATTTTTGCCCCAGCCCTGCTAAATGCTTGGTGGAAGGACAACGCAGATACAGGGCTATGGGGCCCGAGTGCCCCCCACAACCGTTTCAACCTTTGCAGGATTATATACTGGAGGCGTTGGTTCTCGTTGTCATCCTTCTTGAAAGCTGTAGGTTCAAAGCTGTAAGTAGGCATCTGAATTCAAGTCGGTAATTACCCCCCTGACAGACCCCCGCCACACACACGCACACTTAGACAATGGTTTATTGAATGCCAGAATCCACAGGGAAAGGATGAGGGAAACGCACGGCGACTGGGTCAGCTCAATTGAAATGTTTAACATGTTGTTTCGCATTAGCCCTTTACTGAAAAAAACATTAGTTACTGTACTCAGCGGTCTTGAATTACGGCGGTGCAATAGTTGGGGAGCGAGACCGCCCGGGTAGAGTAGACTAGAGAAGGGACAACAGAAGGAAAGGCACCGACACACGCACACAGTGTGTCGAGTACCATTTCCTTCTGTTACCCTGAGTAGAAGTGCAGGTACGTGGAAATGGCGTCCCATTTCCATATCCTCGGATACAACGCCAGCTTCGTTGACCAGGCGGCGATACATCCTGCTTGGTCCCCTGCAGATTGTGTTTAAACATTAAACTCCTGGATACGGAGTGCGACACACACACACACACACAAGGGGCCGCAGTGCGGCGCTCGCTCGAAATAGTCACCTAACAAGCCTTAAAAAAGAAAAGGAAAAGAAAAAGAGCAAAGAAAAGAGGGCAAGAGAGAAAGATAGTGTAGAGGCGTGCATGTCTACCGCACCAGCGGCAAATTACGGGCGCAAGACCTGAATAGCCACCTAACAAGCCTTAGAAAAGAGAGAAAGAAAGACAGAAAGAGCAAAGCCAAGAGGGCAAGAGAGAAAACTAGAGGTAGTGTCGTGCATGTCTGCCTACAGCAAATTACGGAGTCAAAACCTGAATAGCCACCTAACAAGCCTTAGGAAAGAAAGACAGAAAAGAAGTGCGAGACCGCGGGGCAGGGAAACGAGCCTCAAGAACAACTTAACAAGCCTAACAAACGAAGAAACCGCAAGAAGGCAAGAGGGGGGAGGGAAGGGGGTGCGAATTGGAGTGGTATCTGAAAATCAAGAATGAACGAACAACCTGAGATTCAAAATTCAAAGGTTCGCAAACTGAATTGGTAGTGAAATGTATACCGTAAGCTCGACAGCATTGAAACCGCAGCTTTGTTGTTTGTTGATTCATGGGCGAAACATAATTCAATAAACCATAATCCACCAGTGCAGAAACGCGGTGTCAAAAAGCGATCCACGATGGCATACGCGCCTCTCTTGCGAGAGGATCACACTGTGCACCCAAGTGGGAGAACACAGTTAATCACACTTAGACAATGGTTTATTGAATGCCAGAATCCACAGGGAAAGGAATGAGGGAAACGCACGGCGACTGGGTCAGCTCAATTGAAATGTTTAACATTTTGTTTCGCATTAGCCCTTTACTGAAAAAACATTAGTTACTGTACTCAGCGGTCTTGAATTACGGCGGTGCAATAGTTGGGGAGCGAGACCGCCCGGGTAGAGTAGACTAGAGAAGGGACAACAGAAGGAACGGCACCGACACACGCACACAGTGTGTCGAGTACCATTTCCTTCTGTTACCCTGAGTAGAAGTGCGGTACGTGGAAATGGCGTCCCATTTCCATATCCTCGGATACATCGCCAGCTTCGTTGACCAGGCGATGTACTCTGCTTGGTCCCTGCAGATTGTGTTCAAAATTTTAATTTTGGATACGGAGTGCGACACACACGCACACACATTATTTATGACTATTCTGCACTTGCACCTTCCACCAGGCGCAGGGGAGGAGGCCAAGTGCCTTCTCAAGTGCTGGCGGGGTTCTCGTCCCCTGGGGTGTAAGTACCCTCAACGCTTCATGCTTGAGGGGAAACGAACTGCCAGCTGAATTCGCCATGGGCTGTCACAAGGAACCTTAAATTAAAGGTCCAAACGATCCCACAACCCTGAAAGTCAAAGACTGGACTTCTAGGGCACAAACTTGTAGCAAAAATATAAATCTATATCCATGACTTGATGCTTGCAGGCCTTTAGTTAACTCATGTAATGGCCGCAGCCGCCAGCAGAGGGCGGCGCCCAACAAACAGGGCGCGCCACCGGTGTCCAGTGTCCAGCAGTCCAAAAAAAAGAGGAGGAGAACTGCGGTGGGCGGAGGAGAGCAGGATGTCGCACTGGGATGCTTCAGCTCCGTAGCCAGACACGCCCTTGTGGGACTGGAATCTATGCTGGATCAGTTCATCCCTTCAACCACGCCAATGTAGGCGAAGGATGCAGGTCTACATGCCAGTTTTATGGAGTGTTTTTGTTGAGGTTTGAAACCATTCAAGGGGTAGGCGAGCACTTTCCAGAACTGGTGCCTCGCCACTGAAGTCCCGATGCACAATCCCTGTTCATGGTCAGTGGCCCGCTGTTCTCCTGGAACTAGCCTGTCTTTTTGGAGCAAAGCAGAACAACTGTGAAAACTATCAATGGAAGAATCTCAGGGGCCAAAAACACATCCAACTTAGCGTGGAGCAGTTCTGCACTGAGAAAGGCGCGCGTTTCTGCATGTCCCAAGAACCCATTGGTTTTCACCGGTGTGTTTTGGTTGCCGTTGCTTTTGTGGTGCACCAAAAAAACGTGACAGTTCTGCTTGGTCCCTCGTGTTTTCAATCGTTTGTTGACACTCGTTTGGTCGCCGCTTTGGACGACACGCAGGCGACCATGACTTTGTTGAAGATGCCTCAGACACGCATTCCCGTTTGATCCTCGGGCGGGCGGTTTGGGCGGCCCGGTCGAAGTGAAGGCGAACGTCTACCCGTTCGCCCTTCCAAAAGGAACCGTTTAAAGAGAAAGGATTGATCTGGTGGCCTGTAGTGTAAAATCCTTGGCAAAACAGCTCGGTGGGTCAGCAAGAACCTTACATCAATGGCGGTTGGAAGCCTTTTCCAGCAAGCCGTTGATTTCTGGAACATCTTGTGTTTCTTTTCTGTGGGGGGAACAGGCTTGTGTTTGCTACCGCGATGTGCGGAACGGCTTCAAGAGAACTCCGTACCAAAACACTATGATGATGTGTTAGACCGGGAAAACACATCATAATGTTTTCACACTATGAATTATGGTCTGTTTTCCTGTATGATGTGTTTCTTTTTTGTAAGACGACCGACAATTCGACTGAGTTCGACCGTGCCCAGGCACGAAGTCTCTCTGTGATTTGCACTGAGCTCGACGACGAGGAGTTCTGAAGGGGTCGAACTCATGGGGTGCTGGCAGCGCCCACGGGTGATGCCCCAGACAGTCTCGCTGCCGATGCAACGCCCCCTGACCTTGATTGACACCCAGGATCACCCAGGCCAGAGACAGGGTCCTGAGCAACCAAGTTCCAATTCTGATGACTTCTGTCTGGAGTTGGTTTCTTTCATGCACTCAGGACTTTAAACATGCCTCACGCGATTGCATTCATACATTCACATATATATATATATACACATATACACATGCCCATACACATACGCATACACATGTGCATACGTGCATACATGCACATACAATCACATACATAACCCAACCTAACCTAACGAAACAAAACGTAACGTAAGGTAACGTAACCCATCCCATCCCATCCCATCCCATACAAGGGTTCATTCACTTGTCTTTGGCCCCACCAGACCGGCTAACAGACCAGGACCGGCCGCCTGCGCCGGTGCAGCCGGTGCTGCAGGTGCAGCGGAAAGTCGCTGAAGGCGTGGGTGATGACCCTGGGAGCGCTCGGGCGGAGCGCTGGTTTCAGCACCAGGTCCCTACCAACAGAGGTGGGTCAAGGCGGTCAGAACCCGACGCCCTTCGACTATCCCAGGCCAGGGTATTGCAGGTTTTCCGGGTACACCCAGGACAGCTATCCCGCAACTTAGGCAACACTTTCACAATCTTTCACACCTATCTCACCTATTTATGGTCACTGAGCCTCTCTTGGTACCGTAGAGGTTGGCATCACAGCCCAGCCCTTCACCCGATGGTACAGGGTCGTTCAGGTCCTGTATTCCCTCCTAAGTCCCTTCAGTGGCCAACAGTTTTTCCATCAAGGACCAGTCTGTGGACAAGGAGTCTGGAAGCCTGGCAACCTGGGGTCCTTCTAGGTTGTTGGGGTCCTTCTCCTGGGTTTGGCAGATCAGGTGATGTTTCATTGTCCCTATACACATGTTCCCCTCAAAGGCCCTAGTAGGGTGGGTCACTACACATGTTCCGGGGAAGGATTTTTACATGTTCCAGGTTCCGAATGGCTCGCGGAGTTGCGAGCTCTCAGGACCTCCGAGCGTCCAGTCGCTCTCGGGTCCGTCGGGTCGCTTCGTGCGGACTGGGTTGAATGTCATGACTGCAACGGAACCGAGTGAGTTCGGTTGGCACCCCCACCTCCCCCACCTAACACCTTCTTCGAAAGGCTGGACCCCCTGAACATCCCTGAACCAACCTTAGTTGACTTTGAAGTCATTCGTGGATGGGGATTTGACCCTTCACTCCATAGGATTGGACTCGACCCTCTAGAAGTCATGATGGAGTTCCAACAGAATTCGGTTGAACGACCTGCAACCACACCGTGTTTGTCATTAAATCATCCAGCGACTCGCTGTTCCCAGTTCTCCAACTCAGACCGCCCTGGACCCGCCCTGGACCACGCTTGACACCACCTGTCAGGCGCCGTGGAGGAAGGCCGGACGGGTCCGGGTCCGCGCACGGACGGGGACGGAGGAGCCGAGCTGAAGCGGCCGACGGCTGAAGCGGTCCGGGTCCGCGCAACGCATCACCGGGTTGATATGAAGATGTGCCGGGCACAAGTAAGTAAAAGACGCTCAAGCCAGGGAGTCTTTTCAAGCCTAGCTTTCGCCGCATTTCGCGGCTCTTCAGGGCTAAATGCTGTAGGGCGCTGGTAGATGCTGGTGGGGGTGGCGAAGATTGCCCTACCCCTCCAAGACCATGTAAAAAACATGGTTCATTTGGTTTATGATGGTTTATGTAGTCTAGAATCCTCAGCAACACAAGCATTGAATGCATGGTGGTTGGCATCCTAGGGTATTCTTTGGACTTCTAGGGTGCCAACAAGCTGGGATCATTGTGGTGCTTGCTGAGGCTTGACGCATCCTTAAATGCAGAAGAGTGGTCAATAGAGCCCCAAACAAATGCGCCTGATCAAGTCCCCTGAGAAAAGATGTCCTGGTGTTTGTTGGCTAATCTAAATCTGTCTAGTGTTTCACCAGCTGCGAGTTGTATAGGACTTTTCTGCTCAGGTGTGGTTTCCGGAAGGAAAACCCAACTTCCAGAACAAGTTTGATCCACAATGAAAAGATGTGCATGAATTGCCCAAGCCAATGATTATGGCGTCCCTGCAGTTGGGGTTTCATGTGTACAAACTCTCCACCAGCACAGCACCCTCCAACAGGTCTCCTTTGGTGGTGACCAGTTGGAGGTGCAAAGGTCTTTCGTCATGTGGATGAACACGGACAAACCAAGCCATGAGAGGAGGGCTTCTCTCATGTTTAGTGCTTTCGCAATGATCTTTCAAATACGCTCCCTGAAATTCTCATCGAAGTGGAGTTCACCTGCATGGCCTTCCGAGAAATGGTCCTTCGAAAGTGGTTGGTCTTCGGAGACATGGTCTGAAACACACGGGTTTTCATTCTCAGGGCCCTTAGGATTGGTTGTTGGGGGGGTCTTGTTGCAGGTTGATGCAGGTGGATCGTTCCAATGCTCTCATCTCTGTGGGTCTTTGGAGGAATCCCCAGGCCAGGCTGGGGAGCCACGGCAGGGTGGCCAGGTGTAGGAGCCCCAAAAGCGTGGTTCTCTCCGAGAGAGAGCTGCTGTGCTTGCTAAAGCCAGGCGCAAGTGAAGCGCAGGCGCCGCCACAGGCACTGGGGGGAAGGAAGGGTCGCATCATCGGCCCGGCCCAGCGTGGATTCGGTGAAGAACCCAACGAACTGAAGAACCCATGGTTGTCCAGTCTACCAGGGTCGTCCCATGGGTGTCCAATGGTCGTCTACCTTACCCTACTTACAGGTCTCCAGACAGGGCACCCGTTGGAAGTGCTAGGTACCAAGAATTTTAGACTACAAAGACTGGGTCGACGGAACTCTTTCAATATTGGTCTTTGCAGGCTAAGGTCTAAGGTCCCTGACTATCCATATCATGGCTTAACTCCTAGAGAGTGCCAGCCAAATGTATTCTACCTTGAGGGGAAGTGGTTGTTGGGTGAAAATTGTGGGATGATCAACTTCAGTAAAAACGAGGTCTTGGACCTGGAGGGATATATAACATCAACCAGTTAGAGATTCTTTACTCCTTTCGGACCGCCAACAAAAGCAACAACCCTTATGGCATCGCCGGTGTGTGAAGCTCTACGATAACCCCCCCGAGACATGGATTGTAAAACCTCTTCAGGCCTGGGAGTGTTTATGAATCCAGGCATAGAGTCATTAAAATTTGAGACTGTATATAATTAGGACTACCTGGACCCTCCAAGGGGTGTCCACTGGACTACCCCACACTACCTATAGGCTTCCATTGGGCACCCCTTGGAGGGTCCTGGTATTGGTATTTACTTGTATTAGTACACTGTACACTCCGCGGCATCCTTTGCAGGCCACGTTGGCCTCGCATCCTCCCATACCCCAAGCACTTCGGTTTTAGCGCGGTCACATGCCCACCTCCTTGAGGAGAATACAGGTGGTCTCGGCCGCAGTTAGAGACCATCCTGAACTCTGCTGGATTAGGTATGAGACAAGGACTGGCGCACATACCTTTTTCTAGGGAGCACTGGATGGGACCCAACTGACATGCCAAGAGAGGTAGCCAGTGACCGTAAATAGGACCCGGAACACCTGGAGTACCGAACTGGGATAGTCTAGTTCGGGTCCTTCAACCTCTGTTGGTGTGACTGGGTGAAGGTATGTAGAGGACCCAGTTTTACTTTGTCTTTGGACCCGTAGGCTTTCGTCGATTCGGTGGCCAGTTTTGGGCGACGACGGACTGACCTCCCGTTCACTGCGCGGATTTTGCGCGCAGGAAAAGCGCCAAGATGCTTCGTCGTCCTAGAGAGAGGGCAGAGTAAATAGACACTCAATTGAACAGATAGAAAAGTAGATCCCCACTCATAGTGTATTGGAAACGGTTCTTTTTTGGGGGGGACCACCATAAACACTATAGAAATCAAGAGTTTACATGTTGCACCTGCACCCTGCAACCAAGCTCTTTAGAGGCCGAAGTTCTTCAGAGAAGCGGTCTTCAATCAACCCAAAACCAAACGACTCCTGTCCCACCATTTTCCACCCGAACTTCGAACAAAAACCGGAGTGGTGTGTGTTATTGTAATGGAACCGCCCCGGGAAGATCGTCTTTTTGCAAATATCACGGAGGCGACATTGACCGACTCATGGCCGAATCTTTCGTCCGACCGAAGGGCTCGACGTCTCCGACCCGGGCTCCCACCCAGACCTGGAAGGCGACTCGGGGGGCGTGCCAAGAAAGGTAGCCAGTGACCGGGACCATAGGACCCGGAAAACCTGGAGTACCCAACTGGGATAGTCGAACTAGGGTCCTTCAACCTCTGTTGGTGGGACTGGGACCGGGCTCGACTCTCGCTCCCCCCGCTCTCTACCGCCTTGAAGGTCGAGGAGTCGCTCGGAGCGGGTGGCGTGCGTGGGGCGGGGGTGGAGTGGTGGGGTGGGGTCGCTGCGGGTGAAGAGCGGAGAGCTGAAGAGCTCAGTGAGGGGCAAACTGAGATTGTGGTTGCAAGTTTAACTTTTGGGGGGGAGTTTAGAGGATTTTAGGAGTTACTGTACCAGCCAAGATTGGGCAAAGATTGTGAGTTGGTTTGATTTGCCAATTTTTTCATGCTTGTCAGAGTCAGCTTGGGAAGACACACCCTGGCTGCAGGGTTCCTCTCTTTCATCTGAGCACCCCAAGCACCTAGACTTGGGACGTCCAAACTCTCAACTTCCCACGCATCACCCCCAAGGCCGAGCCGTTCAAAGCCCTCCTGGGCGGAGGTCGCTGCCAAGCTGGTTGAGACCTGAGCGTCGGCGGTGTTCCACCCGTGGACACCGACGGCAGACGTGTGGAGTTAGCCGGAGTGACGTGTGGAGTTGGTTCAGAGCTGGGCCCATGTTTGGCAGTGTCCTGTCCCCGTATGGAAATCCGGGACATGAACAGCAACTACCTATTTGAACATGTTTGGACTTGCGTCCTCATTTCTCACATGATTCTGACTGGTGCTTCGTGGGTAACGAGGGAATGGATCCAGGGAACCTCTGTGGGGACTCGTTCCCTCATTCCCTCCTAATTATAGCTCAAGTCTGGATTTATAAAATAAGTGACCTGAAGATCACCATTTGGAACGAGTTCATGGTGGACGTCTGAAACAACGTTCCCTCAGACAGCCATGCCAAACATCATGTGGGCCCATCTCCAGAGAAGAATGAGGCTTCAAGTGATCTAATTCAAGGGGCTTTCCACTAACCATCATGGCGTGACACCACGACGTGCTTCGCAGTGCTTCGCAGTGAAAGGGTGAAAGGCCTCTTCTGCCTTCGTGGCCGCAGCTCACCTGCCCGGCCACGTGGATGGTGTTCGGCTCAGTTGGCCAAGCCACTTAGCATGTCGGGCATGCCGAGACTGGCATAGATCTGGGTCTGCAGACAATGGGAATTGGCACGGCTGAACCGAAAGGGAACCTACGGAAATGCGCCCGAGCAGACCTGAAGCTGGCCGTCTTCAGCCGGAACTCGCAAGACCACCCACGAAAAAACTCGCAAGACCACCTCACATCTCATGTAGTTTATCTTCTGACCCACCAGTACCCCAAACAGAAGTTCACGGATGGTTTTGTGTTTTAATATCTTCTTAACTGGGTGGGACCACACTGCCCAAGAGCCCCCAACAGCAAGTTCAATCTCGCAGCAGTGTTCACCACCGCCCCCGCGCAGCGCGCGCAGCGGCCGCGTACTACTGTGCTGCTGATGTTTGGCTGATGCCCTCCTCTCGCGATGTGCCTTTGGAATTGTACTTGACTTCACCCAACGGCCAGCAGAAGCTTGGAGGCGCCAGCAACCGGACTGGTGCTGAAGGTTCTAGAGATATTGGATTTGTCGTCAGGAAAGTTTTTGTGTGTGGAGAATCATGGAAAGCATTTCTCTATGCCATCCTTAACTCTCCTCCCTGGTCCTTTTGGTTTAGAACAGATTTCACTAGAGGTTAAGCCATGTTAAACCCTGAGCAAACGACTGGCCTGGGCCAAACTTCCGTGTCAGCGTCGCTGGGGGGAAGGTGACGTCCTTCACGGACCATCGAAAAACATAGAGTGAAGCGTTCATGTTTACGATGGATTCACTCCGAAACTGGGGATGAGGGTGGAATTTGTCCATTGCTTCTTCGCCCGGTTGCTGTAATACAAATCCCAAGGAACAATCACACAGTCGACGCGTTTCTTCGCCCAAAACACCCCGGGGGGCGGACGGACAGTGGACACAGCTGGACACAGCTGGACACCACCCTGTTCGTTCTGAAGGACATCTATCGGGACCTCTCGGGACCTCGGCTTCAAGGGGTCCAAGGTATCCACTAGGACGTGGTGAGTCGAAGGGTGGAAGGAACAGGAAGGAACGATCGAACGTGAGTTGTGCAGTCCCAAATGTCCGGTCAAACAAGGGTCGTTTGGGATTCAGGCCGCTCTTCAATAGATGGTGGTTCGAGGGCACGAGGGCAGTGGTTAGTGGTTACATGGTTCTTGAAAGGCTCAGCTGGGACGAAAAACAACGTGAAGGAATGTGAAAGTCAATCTATCAAAGCGTACTGAGGACATTGACATTGTGACAGTGATGCATTGTGACAGTACTGTGTATCAACCAATGGCGATTGCAATTCAACTCACCCCACCATCTCCGCTCTCCGGCTCTCCCCACTCAGCTCCCAACGGAGAGGTCTCTACCGCTTGCTGGAGGGAAAGGTGTCGAAAGGCCTGCCGATCTGGAAACGTACTGGCGAGGGTCAAGAAGCATGGATTTACAGTCCCTGGGCCTCTTCCGCGCACGGCGCGCTTGCGGCGGCTGAAACATCAGCGGCTTCTTCCGCGCGCGGCGGATGGCGCGGGTGGGATGAGGGAACGAGGTCAGCGACTCGAGGACGTTGGATGGATCGACCCTGGACAGTCCTTCGTTGGTAGAGTTGGGTACAGCGTGATGCACTGCCTAGCACTGCCTAGCACTTCCAAATCTTGATACTTTGATGCGAGATCTGAGACCTGCCACCCTAAGAATCAAGGACCCTCAGTTCGGTGAAGGTTTTGAGGGTCCAAACCCCTGCGTTCTGCAGGGTCAAAACCCTCCAGAAGTGGTCGGGTCCAATGATCCTTAGGGCAGCAACTAATTGGTTCATCAAGAACTCCGAGTGGTACAGCGCATGCTTTGCCGCTGGTTTCTTAAGGGGCGTCAACTCCCCAAAGCAAAACCCAGCGGCCTTCGGAGAAAGAAACGACGGTTTCTTATTTATTTATTTCGAATACAACCACTCTTGACATGAATGGACCCTAGAGACTCCTCGAGGTTTCCCGTTCCATTGACATCAGTTCTCTAGAAGACTCTAGACATCAGTTCCATCCAGTTGACTCTAGAGACTCTAGTTGACATCAGTTCTCTAGAAGTCCAGTTTGAATCTCTTTGGCACCACCGAAGGATTTCAGGACATTCATGGACATTCCTGAACTCGTTCATCGCGGTGGCACCAATAGGTCTCGTTCTAGTCGACTGGACTCCCAGGGATTTACTTCTGGATCCCTTGGGGAAATTTCCAGACCATCCATCGGATTGTAGGATTGTTGCTGTTTTGGTTGATTGGATTCCTTAACTGATTCCTTCCTTATTGTACCAACACTTTTGGATCGTCGTTTCCGTTTGAAGCGGTGCTCGACGCGGTGGCGCATGCTCAATCCATGGTCGTTCCGTGGTCCGGTTCCGTGGTGACCGACCCGTGGTGACCGACCCGTGGTCAGCGCACCAGGGCTCGGTGCGGTAGGACCCGGAAAACCGGGGGTACCGTAGTACCCAAGTGGGAGAGTCACGGAGAGTCGAACCGTCGGGTTCTGACCCACCACTTGTTGGTCACATTTGACCAGCGATCAGCATTTTTGTTGAGATGGATGTCGGCCGGCCACCAGGCCCCATCATCACCCACTGAGTGTTTACACGGATTGGTACGTGAAGCACTGACCAACTGTTCTAAGTCGCAACCACTTCAGACACTCTCACGACTAATGATTCCAAGCGGAGAACACGAAACACTGAAATGCACTGTTCACCCAAAACGGGGGATCAGGCATACCCTCAACAGGGCTAGTACCACCTAGGTACCCATCTAAGGTAGGTAGTATGATCAGGCCCGACCCTCAAGGACCGCGCCCTTTCATCGCGCCCGGGGGCGCCCGGGGTGCGCCGACGTCTCCGCACGGGGCGAGACGCCGAGGTGGTCCCAACGGACGGTGGTACGTCAGCAACAACAAGGCGGTCCCGGACCGACGCTCGAGACGAACGCGGAACGGCCGGTGGTCTTGGGTGACCGGCAGCTGTCTGAAAACCATGGGCGACCTTAACCGTTTACGCGCGCTTTTGTGGTTCCTTGCGTTTGGTTCAGTATAGGTCAAACCTGCCGAGGGGGGGGCGGTTCGGCCCAAGTTCGAGTTCAAGTTTGGACGGTCCTGGAGGGACCAAAAATACCACGCCTTCAGGGAATCAAGATCGCGGTCATGCAGCTGGCGCACTTAGTGCATGCAGTGACGACGGCTTTTGAAAAATCCGTCTCCATCAACCTCCTCCACACAAAACAATCGGTATAGCAGATGTAGCAGGATATCACAGGGCCTCATCCTTGCAGATCTCTCCAACCAGCCGAAGCATTTGCAGCTCGCGAAGCATTTGCAGCTTTTGCAGGTGGTGGAAGAGAAGAATTTCCAGTGTGGCCGGGGGCTCATCAGCTCTGAGGAGCATCGAAATTTGCTGCCAATTTTGTTGGAGGAAGATAGCTGGCAGTACAAGGCCAGGACGATGGGTGGTGAATGGGAAGAAGGAAGCTCAGATCTAATTTTTGCAGAGCGGGATATGTTTATTTTCCCTACAAGATCCTACAAGTGATTCCCCTGGCATGGGGAAGATTTTTCCCGGTCGCTGGACAGCAAATCCAAGTATATATATAATATATATTTATATATATATATATTTGTAGAGGTCACAAAGATCGTCGTCCAAGGATCAACGTGAAGGTGGACTGGGATGAGGGAAGGTGGGGATCTGACTAGATCGTTGCCTCCAAAACAGGGTGGAATCAAGAACATGAACCGTAAGCAGGCTTGTGTTCTTCGGGCTGGCCTAGCGAGCCTGCCTATGAGCCCGCCTATGAGCCTGAAGACAGCTCCAAAGTGCCTCCAAGATATATACGGGGTGTGTATTAGAAAAGGGAGCCCCCCTCGACGACCTCTGGGAACATTAAAGACAGACTAATCCCTCCATTCAAATACCAACCCATGAAAAACCTGATGCAGTTGTTCGTCACTTGACGTACAGTGGAATACACTCCCCACACTCCCATGGAATAGATGCATACATCATTGGGAGTGTTTGGGTTTGGCCCCACGGCCCCACATGGCCCCACCCAACAAGTCTTTGGAAGATATTAGTACCGGTCGTCCTGTCGTCTCAGAAATTCCCGTCAACGGGGTGGAACCACGTTGGTGCAGGATGGACGGACGAAATTGGGGTTTCCGTAGCAGATGAGGAACAAGAAGCTACTAGTAGCTCCTGGCATTACTACTACGTAGCAAGAAGCTACTAGTAGACTAAGAACATCTAGGAACGATGCCATGTAGGCTATCTCGATGAATGGGAGGGGGAAAAAGCGTCTAGTCAACTCTAGCTATGTCAAACTCAACAGTCTGTCCAGACCCGGACCAGGACCAATATGGATGGAACAAAGATCTTCAGATCAGCTTTTCCATCTACTCTCCTCCCGCGCCGGAGCGGCTCTTCGTCTCTTCGCCGCCCCTGGGGCGAACGTGGGGCAGGTTAGGGGGGGAAGCATACCGATGTGTTTCAGTTTTAAACACGTTGTGTTCAAAAGCATTGGAAACCCAGTCCCAACCAGAAATTTTCAGGGTTTATGGCAATTGAAATCCTTTACACAACAAGTATCAGTATCAACAAGTGGCCGTCACAACAGGGTAAAACTGCAGGCTTCATACTGCTTCCAGTGGGAACAACAGTGTGTACTTTACAGAGTGTTTTTCCTCAGGAATGTCAGAGACAGAAACATACAATGTGGAAAGATCAAGTTCTGTTGAAAAGCAACGCAGGATGAAACACACAGGTTCTTGAGACCCCATTTCTGAAGGCAGCACAGCAGACTGGGAATCGGCAAATGCATTGGAAAGCCTGGTTGCAGGGAGTGCTGTTCTCGTTAAGAAGAAAGACCAAAGAAATGTTACACTTAGTATCGCTTAGCTTTGTTGGTCTCAAAAAGCATGCCCAGCACCGGGCTTCATCATGTTTGTTGCGCATTTGCTTGCTGCACTGGTCCAAAACAATGAAGGTGCCTCGTTTGGACAGCATTTGTTCATTTGGTTTCGCGCGTGCGACACCGCGCTCGCCCATGATAAGACGGGCCGAAGCCAGCGAAGCGAGGAATGCCTTTCAGAAGCTCTCGGGTGAGTACAGACTGAGCCAACAACATGCGAATGGGCATCCTATATGGCAGCGTGCCGGCTGGGGAGAAGAAGCGTATCTCTACAGCGGCCGCAGCGGCAAATGGCCTCCTGGCGACCAGCGTCCACGACCGTCCACGAAGACCGAGGAAAGACGATCTGGGTCAAGCTTTTTGTTTGGTCGACCTGGGTGGTGGAGGAAAGCATCACCCAGCCGACTCAGGCAGTAACTGAATGGGATTTCATGGTAGTAAACGACGTGAAAGCAACATTTCCATGTTCTCATGGAGTTCTAGAGATTAAGTAGCATCTTTGTCTAGTAGCAAGGCCAGGAACCCCTAGTGACGCGATGCCCTTCGTTCCTAGTAGCATCCTTGTTCCGTTCGGTTTGAGAAACTGCCCGCAGCATCACAGATCCCCAACGTCGAAAACGGAGACCCTTCCTGGTCGTTTTCCGTCTCCGCAACCCCCGGGATCGGCGCGCGCGTTCGGCTCGGCTCCGACCAGATCCGGAGGTCCAAAAAGACCTATATACAAAGGCACCGGACTAGCTGGACTACCGGACTACCTGGACGATCTGGTCACCAAAGGGTCAGACTAGTTGCTACTAGCTGGATTCGTGACGGATCGGACTAGCACCTGACAGACCCGGGGTGTCCAATGGAGATCTCTCAGTGTGAGCTTCCAGCCAGGTGACCCCTCGGAGGGTGCTGGTATACAGGAGACCTGACAGACTGGGAACTGGAACTTCAGTCGGTCAAGATGAACTCGCTGAACTGGACATCGGGGGCGGGCTAGCAATTTTTTGGCATGGGGTATCGGGGGGTACTTCACTGACGCACTCCTTGTTAGACAGTTACATGTTCCTAAACCAGATTCTGGTTTACACATTCGAAAGGTCCCCAAAGTGCCCAGGCAACTCCGGCAGGCAACGAGTGGAATATCTTTTTAGCCAACAGCTGGAAGTCACATTAAACTTTAGATGCCTGAGTGGCTGTCCCATGTTTTGAAAGTCACTGCTTGTATTACAAACCCGTCTTTGGCTTAAGTTTTCGGCTAGCGGCTAGGAAAGCTGTCGATTCCTTTTCTACACACATGGTTTTCACAGTCTTTTGCAACATTCTACCGAAGGTACGTCGTTTGCAAGAACGTCGTGGTCGAGAGGCTGCTTGCACTGCAAAACGAGAAAAGAAAAGGCTGTGACTGGCCATTTCATTGAGAATTACAGAGAAATGGTCATGGCATGTCACAGGTGCAGAGCAGATGTTGTAATGTTTCTTTTGTTGCCTCAAAATGACCGTGGTCAGAATTGCACCACAATACATAGCTATAGTATACAACCTGAGTGACCTGTATTTTGGATCACCAACCACCCAAAGTATGTATATGTTTGTCCGATCAAAAACCACGGGTCGTTCCCGGTCCACAGTAGTGGGTTCTAGATGTTTCAGCCGGGGCTCCAGACAGATCCGGCCCCCCGGAGCCTTTTTTCCAGCTCAGAAGCTCTGCTGACCGACAGCTACGTCGCTGGGAGGTTGTCTCAGGAGCTTCAAGCTGATGCCTGGGGTACGTCGTACAGTCCCTGGAACCTACACAGAAACCGTGGATGGCATGGCCCCGCAGCCTCGGAAGACCATGTTTCCAGATCCCAAACAGGGGGGCGAACTCCACTTCCGTGTTGGTTCCAGGGAGAGTATCTTGAGGATCCTATAATAGGAAGTGTGTATCAACTGGTGCAGATGTTCCTGTTCCTTCAAGAGCTGCAGGCGTTCCATGTGACGCACTCGTCATCTCAGGCACTTCCACTGCAGCTTGGGTGGCCTGGTGTCCTCCGTTCCACACGCAGGCCCCGGTAGAGCCACGCCTTTCGTCGGACACGCAGGGAGAGCAGCATCGTTGGATGGGGTACGATGAATTGAATGACGAAAGCCACCAACGACCTTCTTTTGTAAACCAACCAAGAGAGGTAGCCAGTGACCTGAACTAGGACCCGTCACCTGGGGTACCCAACTGGGATAGTCTATAGGGTCACTTAACCTCTCTTGGAACCTTAATCAAGTGATTCCCTTTTCCATGTTCCGTAGAACATCATGATCCGTCGGGTATCTGAAGTCAGGCGAACAAGTGTCAGGCTTCCCCCCGGTGCGTCGGTGCCGGTTGGGGACCGGGATCTACTCAAGCAGCAATCTGAACTTGGATGTTCCCATCCATGTAGACTTGATATATCAACCACCCCAGGCTTGGAAGAGTTTTTTTTAGGTGTTAGTTTTTCCATGTTTTTCCTACTATAGACTCTCTTGATTGATAGACCCCTTTGTCTTTGACTTGGAAAAGCCTTTCAGAGACCGTCTACCATTAACCATGTCATAATGAGGGTTTATTCATGTTTATTCATCAATTAACCATCATTGGACCCCTCCAAACTGGAGAGATCAAGGCCCGACCTTGGGTCCCTCGGCTCGGGGGGGTGGTCCGACCACTTCCGTGCGAAGCAACCCTTCACCGACTTGAGAGTGACTCGATTGGTTCGGTTGGGTCAGAACAAGCGGGTCATGGCACAAGTGGGACCCTGGTTGACCCAAAGGGAACAGATGGGAACAGAGGTACACGGCGAGGTCTTCCTCTATCAGCGTCAACCTACTTACCTCATCCTACCTCCGGGTGCTACGACCCACAGCCATTTCAGTGCTGAAGTCTCCAATCGTCCAGCCTGATGGACTTCCCACGGCCCCCCTTGGAGGTGTGCCTCCGGATGCCTTTGTCGGATCACACCGAGGAGCGAGTGTTTTTGTTTATATGCATTCCACCAGTCGGCACGACAGTCGGCCAACACAGATCGTTTTTTTTCATCGATTTTGCCAGGTAGTCCATGACCCCGCAAAATCCACGGGCTAGCCAACCGGGTGGTTTCGGATGAGCATGACCAATACTGATGAATCAGCCCCCATGAGGGGCGAGGTTTTACCATCCATGTCTGGGGGGGATGACTCTTAATCAGGAATCCAGAGTCTACATGACCCAGTTCTCATACCAGTTTCTAGAACATTCAACCATAGTTTGTGTGTCAAGGTTATCAAGTTATCACCGGCGGAAAAGGAGTAGACGGACGAAAGGAAGAAGACAGAGGAAGGAGATTGACAGACATCTGATTTTCCCGAACAGCGCTTTCGGATTTGGTGATTTCTTCTGACCTGGTCAGACTGACAAGCTGAAGCCACTGGAGCTTCTTACTTTTCTCCTGGTGAAACCATCACAAAACCCACCACTACCACTGGAGGGGGAAACATCTCAGGAAAGCATTCCAGGGTCAGGACCCCGAAGACACGGGTCTGTGCCGGTGAATCACATGTCCTTCACATTTCCGCCTCAAGTTTCCTGACTTGGTACCCTGGCTAGTATATATATATATAATCTTAATAATTATATGATAAAATTATACGATATGTGTTTTCAATTCTACTAAAATTCCAGACCCCGCGCCCCCCTCGCCCAACATCTCCTGACTCGCAGCTTTGGCTTGGCTTCCAATTGAGGGACCTTCCAACTCTGTTGATTGTTTCATAGTTTTCCAGGGCTGCCACGAACACAGAATACCGGAATACCTCGCATGTTTAGGTATCAAGTGATATTAAGAGTCTCTATTGCACTCAATTCTCAGGGTGCAGAGCTCACAGCTCATTTGCTTTTTGGATGCAGTCTTCATTCCGAGGGAGCTTGTAGTGTATGTCTCGCTGGGTATCAGCCCACTGGTGACATCACGTTCGTGTGATGAGCAGAGCACCGGTGGCGGCACGCCAGGATGGGGTGTCAGAACGAAGGATGGCTGGGAGCAGGATGAGGACATCAGCAGCTCGGTTGGCCGGTCTTCGGCCTGTTTGAGCCGCCGTTTGAGACATAGCGCGCCGATTTTTGCCACGACAGCACGAGAGATCCAATGGATGGAAGACTATGTGAATGCCCATCCTGTCCTGAGCCGACTTCCAATTCAGAAGTGAAGGAAGCTTTGGTGGGGGAATTTGCTACTGGGTGGTATAATTTGCTACTGGGGAAGCTTCTAGAACATTCAACCACCCTCATGCAGAGAGTTGACCAATATGTCTAACATCCTCAACTTCACGGCTTCCCGGTCCCTGGAAGAAAAGGTCGTCCATCTCTCGTGACGTCGGCTTCGTCACGCACATTGCACCTAAAAGGAAGACGAGTTTCCTTATGTTTCCTTCACCTGAAGCTGAAGCAAGAAAGCAGTCTAACAAGAGGATTGGTTTCCTTCTCAAGACTGGTTTTCTTCCCCACAAAAGGAAGACTGCCTTGAATTTGCTGCGTGGGGTCGGGCGGACCTGAGGCATTGGCACCCAGCCCTTCGAGACACCCCAGAGCACTTTGTGGGTGGTCTCGCAGCTCGACATGGAGGAAGAACATGGGCGGGTTCAGCTCGCCGAACAACGAGAGAAGACACAGGGAACAAAAACACAGGAAAGGTACTGTATTCATAAACGGGCAGGACCTACTCTCAGGCTTCTGCTGCTGCTAGAAAGCAGGTTATTATACACATATACTTTTTCAATCTAACAAATAGTCGAATTGTCATGGATTGTCTATTGGGCACTGTGACTTTCCATTGCAAGCGGCCATGTGTCCAAAATGCATCCAGATTCCTTGTTGGGAGAACCAGAGACTCAAACCACTCAAATCTCCAGATACTGGGATTGGCTGCAAGCTTGAGTGGCATAGCTGGTGATAGAAACAATAATAGTTCTTGCAGGCATCTTTGGCACATGTTCGCAACAAGGGAACATGGGTGTTCCAATAGGTTGTCTTCCAGTGGCACGTTTGTGTGGGGTATAATCATGCATTCTAACAGCTTTATACTATCTTTCTGGCCACTGTTTGTTTAATCAAGAGTTGGTGAAGCTGACCAGAGCTCTGAAAGTCCTGTTGATCTATACTGTTTGAAGAGGGAGTGCATAATCGCTAGCCAACAGCTGTTGGTCAAGCACATGCCACAGCAACCTCTGCCACGGTTCCCTATGATCTTTAGGTGACCCGAAAAGGAGTTTCCTCTACTTCGATGGTGTGAAATGCAGTCTTTGGACTTCCATATATATATATATATATGTAGATTATATTTAATATAACACTAGCAACAACAACACTAGAAATACATGTATATAGATAGATAGATAGATAGATAGATAGATAGATAGATATAGACATAGATAGATATAGATAGATATAGATAGATCGATAGTTAGATAGATAGATAGATAGATATAGATAGATATAGATAAATATATATATATATAGATATAGATAGATAAAGGTATAGATAGATAAAGGTAGATAGATAGATAAAGAAAGAACGACAGACAGATAGATAAATAGAGATATAGATATAGATATAAGGTATAGATATGGATAACGATATAGACATAGAGATAGATAGATAGATAGATAGATATAGATAGATAGATAGACAGATAGATATAGATAGATAGATAGAGATAGATAGATAGATAGATAGATAGAGATAGATAGATAGAGATAGAGATAGAGATAGATAGATAGATAGACAGACAGATAGATAGATAGATAGATAGATAGATATAGATAGATAGATAGAGATAGATAGATATAGATATAGATATAGATAATTATAGATATATAGATATATATAGAGAGAGATCTAGATAGCAGATACAGATAAAGATATATTATATATATATAGATTGTATAATATGTAGATTCAGATGTGGTTCCAAACTTGTTGAAAGAACGTTTGCAAATGAAGCCATCAAGCCAGTCGAGCCGCAAACCTTGCCAGGTCAGGGCAGAAGGCCACCGGCCGCTTTGACCTCCTCGAAGGCCCTTACGGTCGGATGTCGGCTTCGGAAGGCGAAGTGAAACACACATGTCGAACTCGGGTTCTAGCCCTCGGGTCCCTAGTCCCATCGGGCTTTGTTTCGTTGGAGAAGAAAGGAAGGATCCCAAAAGGATCCCAAACGCATGACGGGACTTCGAACCGGGTGGGGGGAGGGTCCCGAGACCTGGAGACGACGTCCCGTGAGTCCATTCCGCGGGTGCCGTGGGTCCATCGCTGCTCAGACATGGAAGAATACCCGGGTAGACTGGGCTGGGAGGTCCCCCTTACTAGTAGCAAGGCCCTTAGCTGCTAGTAGCAATACACTTGTTGCTAGTAGCAAGGCCCTTAGCTACTAGTAGCTTCGTGTTCCTAGTAGTAATGCCAGGAGCTACTAGTAGCTTCTTGTTTCTAGTAGTAATGCCCTTGTTACTACTAGCCCTTATTAATACACACCCATTTAAGACCTTTTTTCGCCTTCCCCCACGTGATGCACTGGAATTCACCCCCTGTTGGTAACATTTAGTGAAGCAAAGGTCATCTTCCTTTCAGGGCCATGCCATCCACGTAACTGTGTGATATGTTCGTCAGAGTGTCTTGGTGTGCTTTTGGGGATGGGTCTTCACATCTTTGCAGACCACGCACGCGCGCCAGCGCCTCGGGAATCCACTGGCGCGACACCTAGAACTTCCGTGACTTGACTCAATGAACCACGCTAGGCCGCTAGGTAGTCAATCCAACCACCCAACCGTTCAAGCACTTCATTCCTACCTCGTACTGGTATTTCTCGTCGTATTTAATATGAGTCACTTGGACTCCAATGCGACCGCCCGGGTCGCCGCGGGCATTTCAACCGTTCGCCAGGTCAACAGGCCAACGGCTTCCCACTTTGGCGACGTGCTGGCCGCGGTGCAGCGATGTGGCTCTACAGTGGCAATAAGGGCAGCTTGGTGGTCCGAACAGAACAAAAACACCGAGACCGAGGCAAAAACTGGCCCAACGAGTTGGGTGGGTTTAGGGTTGAAGTCGTTCAATTTTGATGAATTATGGCATATATGTGGCCAATGGCACCGTGATCTTTCGACGAATGATATGTTTATGACGTCTTAAAAATGTAAACGATTGTTCACGATTCGACAGAGATTTTTTATGATAGCAACTGAGTAATTTGTGTAGACAGTTGAGCAGCGACAAAAACCTCCATCTAAAGCCTTTATCAAGCACTTGTTCTCATAAGGCCAAGACATAAGGGTTTTCGACACCGCTCAGTTGTTGGTCATCTCAGCCATCTCATGCTCTTCTAAAAGACATGAACTTGACCACTCATTCTTCTCCAGGAAAGTGGTGCATCGGTGACCACACGGTGGCCGAGTTGTACAAGTTTCGATGCAGCTCCTTGGCCGACCTCCGATCGACGCTCGCTCGATGGAGGGATTGAGTCCGGTGCGATGAAGACGATCAGGAACGGGCCAAAGGAACGCCGTCCTCATGGCGAGGATTGCCGGACTTGGAATGTCCTCCGGGATGTTCCCTGCACAGTGAACAACCATCTCAGAACTGGAGCGGACAAGGGGAATCCGACTGTTTAATTAAAACAAAGCATTGCGATGGCCTCAGAAGGTGTTGGCGCAATGTGATTTCTGCCCAGTGCTCTGAATGTCAAAGTGATGAAATTCAAACAAGCGCGGGTGGCGCTAGCTGCTCAAAAATGCGCTAGCCCTAGTATATTATTGGCGGTATAATTATCGGCGTTCCTGCAAAAAACAGCATGCTGGTCACCAACTTTGACACCCCGGCCTCAGCCGCCCCAGCTCGTGATACAGCGAAATTATTCAACCAGTCCAGTCATCATAAATGATCATGCAACCATATTACATAATTACAGTAATCATACCAATGTTCAAGCTTTTGCAAGTATAATATCTATACCCTAGCCTTCAAAGACGTTTCAAAGAATGGTTGACCTGTTTTTGCAGTGTAAAATCCTTAGTAAAGCAATTGTGGTTTGACCTTGGTTGTTGGAATCCTATATATTATAAATATACATCACCGTTGCTACCGGCTATCTAAAATGACGGTGGTCGACCACGGAAAACCTTATTTGACTCATTTAGTTCAAGGCTTGTTTGAAATGGGTTTTAAATATGGTTGGCAGCGACAGATTTACAAACCGGTCAAATTAGCCAGTTGTTTTTGATAAGATTGTGAGAAAGCTGTTTCTATTTGTCACTCTTCAGATTAAATGACTTGTACGGACCTTTGGTGCGTGAAAGTCATTTTTTAAACCAATTTTGGAACGGGAATATACATATATATATACACAATATAATAGAAATAGAATATAGAAAAGCGGGAAGTAGACCTATACGACAGTGTGACCATCCTACTCTTTGGTCCAAGAGTGGTGCTTCCATCTTCAATCAACTGCTTTGGATGGCTGTACTCCCACACCATCAGATTGACTTCACATCTCCAGATCCTGCTTTTTGGGGCGCTGTTCTGCCCGCGCGGGCGTTTCCGTGAATGGAGTCGAGGCCAGGGCTTCATGGTTTCGGCGGCGCCTCATGTGGGAGAGCCTCCCGAGCACGAGAACACGACGTGGACGTTTCAGGAGGAGCGGGTGATTTGTTCGGCTGACGAGGAAGGGCGATCGAGTCACTGATGGGTTCGGGCTGATGAGCATCTTGGAAGAACGACGAGTCCAAGCAGGAGAAGCAGTAGAATCAGAAGTGTTTTGTTCGGCACTTGCCCAGTTCAGAATGGCTCTTTCCCCACGCATGCCCTGTTTTCATGGCTGTGCATGTGGGTACTTGGCGGATCCCAGTCCGGCTGCGCTTGTCGTTAGTGTGTCCAGGGTCTCCATGCGAAGTTGACATGTTTGTGGGGACATGCGGAGTTGAGGGACATTTGCTGTCTCAGAAAAGTCACATTAGCGGCCCCATGCGGCCAATCCATGCAGAGTAAAATTCCATTTGGGTTTAGGGTTGGGCCGCCCTGCTTTTCGATCAGAAGGGCGTTTGCTGCCAAAGCACGTGCAACGATTTGGCACTGGGCTATATGGGTTAAAATTTGTGAAATTGCTCCCAATAATACCGACCCTCAAATGCAGATAGTACTGCATGTACAGATCAAATCGTCGCAACCAGAAGCTGAGCTCGGAGGGGTATACCTTATTGGAGGGGTACCTATTGGAAAATCCATTCATCCTCGGGGTCTCTGTGGCAACCATGAAAACCTCCATCAACCGGAAGGCCCTCTTGGAAGGTCCTTCAGCCCTGTCCCTCTGGGTGCGAGTCTGGACCGTGGACCGTGGGCGGTCGCACCCAGCACCGTTCGTTTGGTTCTGACCCGAACAAGCGGGTCCATCCGGAGATGCGGGGTCACGCCCAACGAACCATCCATAAAAACCGTTGCTTTCCTGCTTCGTGTTCCTGCGGGTGTCCACTTCCATGGATGATTTCAGGGTTCCGACCTGCCCTTAGGATCATTGAACCCGACCACTTCTGGAGGGTTTTGAGCCTGCAGAACGCAGGGGTTTGGACCCTCAAAACCTTCACCGAACTGAGGGTCCTTGATTCTTAGGGTGACAGCACTTCCATGCTGATGATTCAGGGAGTGTACATACCATGTAAATCCTTGGGTCGACCTTCACCGGGTGCGACATGCTCAACGGCAGGATGGGTCTTCATCCTCTTCATCCTCAACGGTCGTGTCCACCGCCACTCCACCAGTTCCAGATGTGGCTTTGCATGGAAAACACTGGGATCCAATTTGGACTCTGGGGGGGAATGAGGACATCAGACTGGTTGCTGATGAATGAGGTGGACATCAGACTTTCTGCTGATGCGACCAGAACAAGTGGTCCCCCTAATTGAATGATGCATGTTGCAAAGGGATCAGTCTAGCATACCGGAAAAGGCCTCCTCATAAAAATGATTAAAACTGTTTCGGTTCGATCTCTTTCAGAAAAAGCGACAGATTGGTTTGCTCTGGGTTGGCAGTTTCATCAACCATCATCCATCATCAACCCATTTCAACTCCTATTTGGAAGGGATTGTCCGAATTGACTGGAATATTTTGCAGGATTGTTTTCTTTATTGTTCGCCATTTCGAATTTTGACCGATTAATTTTGCTCAACATTATGACAATACTACCGTTGTGACCAGAGTTCCCCAAACCTGATATAATATATATATTGTAGATATCGGAACAATCAAGAATGATGTGACGATGTGAACAGAATAATCAATAACTATATGCAAGACAAACCAATCCAATATGTGTGAATTGCCAGGATCCTTTCCTTTGTAAAAAAGGAACAGAACCGTTACCCCGCTCGAGAGCGGAAACTCCAGAAATCCCCCCCCAAACCAACGGCGTTCGTCGGTGTCGGCGTGGATGGCGGTGTGCAATCCATCACGTTAAAGGCGGAGAAACCCAGCTTCTCGGTGCGAAACATGGGGAACTGATGGGCTTTCTGGCTGGTTGGATCTGTCGTCAACGACTCCCCCAAGTACTGCCTCAACTCTTCCTGGATTTTGCGTTGTTACATGTTGTTACGACATTCTGTCGAGAAACGATGACTATTTCTTGGGTCAAAACCACAGCCTAGAATTGAAAGTTCAAGGATCTTCGATCGTGTGGCAGTTCCTCGAATCAAGCGGTGAACCAGGAGTTCAGCAAAGTGCCAGAAAGAAGCATCAAACAATAAAGAAAGTGCTGCGTTGATTAACCGTCATCAATAATCATCAGCATTAAACATGAGTACTTCTTAGAGTTGTGCTGGTTGAAAGTACACTTCCTGAAATAATGCCAACGTGGAGAACGCATGTCCCCGAAAGGATGACGACCAATCCGAATACAAAACAGGCGGTAGTGCCATCCACAAGCATCATGTCAGGGAAAGTATCCAAAGTCTCACTGAGGTGATTTACCTCATGTCTCCAAATGGACAGCAGAGAAAGGACCGCACAAAGCTCAGGGAACGACTCGGGCTGGACAAATGTTCATGGTGGACCGCCAATGAGTAGCCTGTGGATTGGCATCCCCTGTTTGGTCCTGGCAAAAGACATCAATTCGTTGGATCATGCATTATAGTTATAGATATTATTCGGAATTTGGAATCCGTTTCTATTTGTCCGATGTAGTTGAACGGCTGAGCAGTATTTGGAAGACTCGTTTCTAGTTCGTGCCTTCGAGAAAGACGAAGACTCTGACTCTTGAGCTGGCTGATTTGATGTGATCGTTCCCCGTGATGGGGTGAGCGATTTGGAAGTGGATCGGGGCTTCTCCGATGAGCCAATTGTGTTTTAAGAAGCGGAGATCAACCAATGTTCAACCCTAGCCCTAGCAACAGACCAAGTGGGAGATGCTTGAACCATCCCACGATATGGGCGTTTTGTCGTTTCCCTCCGACTCTTGGCATCGATCGCACGCAGGCCGGGATCTACCAGCTGGTGCGGGAGATCTTCGCCAATGGCTATCCGTGCCCTGGCTTTTGGCCGTTCACGGCTGAAAGAAGGAGCTTCTGGACGTGAGTTTCTCCTGCACTTGTGGCTCAGGATGTTGGGTGTTTGATGGTGTTTATATGATCTAAACCTGACCATTTTCAGTGGGAAGGAAGGCCAACTAATCATTGCTGTCCACCTTCCCCACTTCGTTCAAGGGCCCTTTTTGGTGAGCTGAATGATGCTGAATCTCCACCATCCCCTCTCTGGACTCAAGGACCAGGATTCGACCCATTCCCATTGAAAAAAGCTCAGCGGATCCTGCTCGACCCATGGATCCCCTCAAATGGCCGATATGTTGCTGGTCAATGGACACGGTGAGCCAATCGACCACAGCCAATCGACCATCCATGTTCGACACTGAAAAACGGAGTTCGTTGACAACTCCTGCGAACCCGGGAGACCAGTTTAACGAGTGCATATTTATAAGAACGACTTTCACTGCATGACTCTGCACGCCCGCTCTCTGATCACTTTTGGTACACTTCCTCCGATCATCGTCGCTTCCAGGCAGCCGACATGGTGGTTCACGAGTGTTTCACGAGTGTTTCACGGGTGAATCATGGGTGAATCACGGGTGCATCACGGGTGAATCACGCGTGAATCACGGTACACACCCAGTTTTTCCAGTCTCTAATCAAGTTTAACTAGTCTCTAAGCAAGTTTAACTAGTCTCTAAGCGAGTCTAACTAGTCTCTAATCAGGGTCTGTTCACTGTGAATCACGGGTGGATCACGGGTGAATCACAGTATCGCCAATTAACGTTTTCTTGAACAATATTGGCTAGAAGTATATATAAGTTTATACTCCACAATCACTTTTGGTACTAATTTACAGGTGGTTAGAGGTGGTTAGAGACAAGTAAAGTACGATCTTTAAAAGTAAAGTACGTTCATGTGAATGAATTTGTTATGAACAAGTTTAACGAGTACTTTGGTTCATAGGGATTCCATGATGCTAGTTACAAGATTCACTGGGAATTCAATCTTATTGATTCATAGCACACCCTGAACAACATCTGAACACCAAACACAGCTATACGACGGCAACCAAACAATACTCAACACAAACTTCTCGCTTAATGGTGTTTTGTTTTGCCCAGATGGGTTTTCCATTTGTTTCACATCCTTATCACTGGCTCCACAGATCTCCTTCGGCTCGATCTCCGAGAAAACCGCCGGACGTGCCACACTGGGCGCTGGGGCGGTCGGCCTCCAGGGTTTGGAAGAGCTTTCAAGATGGCCAGCGACTTCTTTACACTGGCAGCAACGGCTGCTGGTACTTCGGAGGCCTCGCGACCCGAGGTTTTCGGGACCTGAGGCATGCAGACCTCCGCCCTTTCGAGGTTTTTTGGTTCGGACCTCATGGAAACGGGGTTCGGGAACGGTGACGATAGGTCGCAAGGACCAGGTTTGACTTGGCCCGACCGGAATTGTAGGGAAAAAGCCAAAAGGGATCGGAAGAGTCAAAGAGCCCAGTTTTTTTGGATCGTGACAAACATGCTCCAAAAGAGACTCATCCGGTTGGTGTCTTTCTTACTCGGTGCCGTGTGTTGTCGTGTGCTTTTTGTTGCAGAGTTTCCGCTTCATGTCGTGTTTCTTTTTGGGAAGAGTTTATTGCCTTTGAACAAAGGTCCAGTTCATTTGGGCTCATGGTGGCTCACGCGATTTGTGTGGTTTTCAGTCGCGTACTTTGGGCAGAACTGCCGGACCCATGCAGAAAGTCGAAGAACGAAAGATTCCCCATTCCCCCATTTGGAACAACCAAAAAAACACAGCAGCCGGACTGGTGTTTTTGCAGCCGAGTTCTGCGGCGGGTCTATTTTTTGCTTTGGTTCTTTGGTGGCTGGTTCTTCTCGACTGGGGAATGCAAACTATAGAGGTCAATGCACGAATGATTCTGTATTCTCATCTTGCATTTACTCCAGCACACCAAATCAGCAGCAGACCATGAAATACCGATAGACATATATAGATGGACTCCCTCTTGGACGCCCCTCGCCCATCCTCGCCCTTCGTCGCCTTCGTCCTCTCCAAAGGCATCGACAAGGTCACCGCACAAGACTTCAACTGCTCCAGTGGTGTGCTGCGCACTGCAGTTCCTCACGGTGGAGCCGCTGGGGCGGCATTCGGTCGATACCCGAGGACGTCAGGGTGGGGTCTCACTCCGCTGGTCTCCGCCGGGCTTTTTCCTCCCACTTGTTTTGGGGGCAAACAGGAGGTTTGCCGAGGTGGGTGGCTTAGCGATGGAGCTGGGGTTGGAGCAATATTAAATCTTCGCTCCAAATAAAGAGGGAGCCGTTCGAGCGACCGCGAGTGTCCAGTTTCCTTCCTAAGCACTTGGCTAGTTTCAAGCCCTCAATCGGCAATACATGGGAGTGTTTGGCTTATTGCAGGTTTGGTCCAACTCCTTTTGTCCCATAAAAATAGCTTAAACCCAAAGACCTGAGGTTGATCCATAATGCATTCCGTCTACAGGGGAATCCAAGGGTACCTCATGTGTGTGGAGCTAATTTTTGTTGACCAACTCTTGATCCTTTGAGGCAATTTTCTTGACCCACATGCAACAGTTCCGCCCCTCTTCAGGGGCGCCAAGGGAGATCGAGGGAGACCATCCTTAGTCCAATCTTTCATCCGACACCCTTGGGTTTAGGGTTTAAGGGGCGTCAAGACACCCTTGGATGTTGGGTCTTCATCCGCCTTCTTTTTGCAGGTGCTTCCACATGACATCGGCCAAGAATGGCAATTCCTCAACGAGGAAGGCCTGGAGAGGAGGACGAGAACCAATGCACAAGCACTGGAGGAACACACACTCAAATCAAGTACGTACAGTACCGTTGTTTCTTTTGTTCCTTTCTTTCTGTCGTTCTTTTTCTTTCTGTTCGTTTTTCTTCATCATGTAGTTTTAAGTACACGGCTGATATCGCGCCGTGTGGTTTCAGGTGGTTTTTAGTCCCCACCAGCCCCCCCCTGCGCGGGGGTGGGGTGGGGTGGGTGGGTGGGGGAGTATTAGCATTTGTTTTCGACCCGTTGTCCATCCGCGTCGTTTGGCAGGGCCTCAGACGCAGTCTTGTATCGGTCCAAGCTTTATGTTGAACCATAGGTTGAGGAGACAAGAGTTTAGCAGTAGCACGAAGGAGACACGAACAGGCCTTCGACGTCACTCAAATGACAAATGTTTGAAGCGTCTTTAACATCATCAGTTGCAGTCAACATGGACATGGCAATGCAATGCAACTGTTCTTGAAGTCTCTTGCAATTAACGTGGACCGGACAGTCATACACGCGCTTGCGCATGTCTTTACTCTTGCGATTGGCCCACGTGCAGACACCGCTTGGCCCGTGTTCCACGTCCTAACAACAATGGAATGATGAATTCAATCAGGCTTGTGTTTGGCACTGTTAAAGCCAATGGAAGAGGAACAAGTTGACAATGCCTGATTTGATACGCATGCGTAAAATCTGCTGTGACCTAGCTGAACCTTGTCGTAGTTACTGTAGTTGAATGGATGCTGTCAAATGATGCAAGCAGCGTCAGACGTCAGATGTTCTTTTCTCAGCATGGTGCGGAAACCACATGCTTTCTGGAAGCTTTGGCCCGATGCAGCCTGGCGCTGCGTCTAAAGGTGCTGTGGGTGTAGCGTGGCCGGGGACACACTATGATAGCTTACGAGCCAACAAAAGGGTGCTTGCTGCTGAGCGCGGCTTTACTTAGGTGCCATTTCACGCCGTTTGTCGGTTTCTCCGGCATTCTCAGAGAACCGCTCCGCTACCACAAGATTCCACTACCTCAAAGCTGAACTGGTTTCTTTCTTTCTTTCTTTCCTTCTTTCCTTCCTTCCTTCCTTCCTTCTTGTCCTCTCTCTCTCTCTCTCTCTCTCTGTCTCTGAGACGAATTTAGTATCTCCTGTTTGTTTTTTTGGACAACAGTATACACAAGTCACATAGACCCTGAGCCTTCGAGCAAAGTTTGCAGTTGGCACTTTGCACGGAAATCATTGGAGAAGCGGATTCTCGGAAGCTTCTGGGGGAAGCGGTATAGGACATGGTGTTTTGACACCGTGTTGAAAGGGGAAATCACTATCAGACAGTTTGATATATCTTGGTTCACACACACATCCATCATGGCCCTAAATTGACCCAGCATTGCAGTTAAAATAATCGTTTCAATGAAAATCAAGACTTCGAGTCCCACTCCGGGTTTGATTGAAACCGCAACCCACCGCCCATCACGTTCACCATCGTTCTCTCCGCTGGAGAAAGATAGCGAAACAATTCTCATAAACGATGCCGGTTTCCCTGGACGACCGCCAGGCTGGCAGCTGGATGAGGACATCTTTGTGTGGTCCTCACCGCCCAAAGCCCTGCAGCAGCTTTACCTCGTTGGCAGGCAGGGCCGGGGCCGGCCGTGCAGGGGGCATGAGATGGTCGAATCATGGTAGAGGTTGACCTTCAGACTGGGGGATTTGAATGGTTGAGAAACCGTTGAGGAAGGATTCGTTGATGTTTACCAAACAAACGCACCATGGTCAATTTTTTGGTTGTTCGATGAGACTAGTGGAGTGGCTCCCCCGATCAAGACGTCCCGCACCTGCCCCTATCGCCAGGGACGGCTCGGAGCGTCTCTGTGGGATGTATGCGCTCCAAGGCACCGAGCGATGACAGAGAAAAACGGGTGCAACGGGGGATTCTCTAGGAAGTGTTCACCAAGGGTCATTCAATTCGTGAAATTCCTGGTGCAGGAGTGCAGGACCATTCAATGGGTGTCACATGGATCAGATGGATGACTCTACACTACTGGGAGCTCCAGCCAGGACACCCATAGCATTGCCCGTGTACGATACATCTCCTTTTGCAAAGAATGCTGACTGGGTTGTAGATGGGTGATTTGGGAGGCGGCTCGGGAAGGTTAGAAAACGATTGATTTGGGGCGTGTTCTGCGACAGCGGGACTGCTAACAAAGACAAATTACTCCATGGGTGTGTATCTACGTCTATCTGGTTTGTCAATCAATGGGGTGTGGCTGGTGTTCGGATCGTTGGATGATGGATGTCACAGATCCAGAGAGGATTGAACCTGGGCTAAGCGCCCCCACAGCCAGCCATGGAGTTCTTCCTTATAACAACCCTACAGAACCTTGTAGATGGACCCTTGGAGTTGACCATAAAAAGATTTGTCTTTAGACCTGAAAGGCAACTTCCTTTACTTCACCAAGAAGATAGACTATAGACTCTTTGGACTTCGGTGTAGGAAGCCATCCAGAGGGGTTTTTCATGACCAACTCGATCAAGCGTTTGGACTTTTGAGATATTGATGATGCGACTTCTAGAGCAAGTGCCTCGCAACTTCTGGTGATTAGTTTTTGCTGCGGTTCTTTCAACAGAGACAGAGCAGTGCTGTGAACAAATGACATGCTCAAGACTCGATCAACGTCGTCATCATCATCATCATCATCATCATCATCATCCTCATCCTCATCCTCATCCTCATCCTCATCCTCATCCTCGTCCTCATCATCATGACGTCTTTCTTTTCTTCGCACCATTCTTTTGCTTGGAGGCCAAACTGCCAACAGCTTGCCGCTGTGGAAAAGAGAAGGCACTGGTGAGGAGTTCTATCTCTACAGCGGCATTGATGGACGCTGGCATGCTCCTTCGACGGCACGGGCCCTTCACCCCCAACGGCCGGCCCAGAGGACCGACGATGTTTCGGGCGATGACCGAGAACGCGAACGCAGGCACTGCCAAGTTGCTCAAAAGCCCTGCTGGCAATCTGAAGTCGATGTTTTTTCTATTTTAGGGACCCAGTTAGGAGGCCTTAATCGTGGCAAGATGCAGAGCCTTAATCGTGGCACTTAGCGTAAGAGAAAGAAAGAAGAAGACCCAGTTAGGAGGGACCCAAGTTAGGAGGGACCCCTTCTTCCATGGCAATCTGAAGTCCACCTCTTAGGGACGGAGCAAGTTTGCACACCCACCACCTCCCCACCTGGTTCCTTCGTTCGAACTTCCAGTTTCGCTTCGAGTCTAGAGCTACCAAGAGAGGTGGGTGGACAGTGACCAGGTCACGTCGGGACCGTCACCTGGGGTACCGTGGCCTGGGATAGGCGAACGCAGTTCGGGTCCTGACCCACCTTTGTTGCTAGTGCCCAGTCCTTCGGATCAACTCCTTGCCTCGCCTCCACAGTCTCGAGAAAAAGCGACCGAGGTCGGAGACCATCAGGCGAGCGGGGGGCCCGGAGCGGGTCTTGTGGTGTTTTGGTTTGGGCGAAGCTGTGTCCCCTGACATTGGGGAAGAGGTTTTCATGTGTTTGGTCCAAGACCGTGATCAAAATTGAAGAGTTTTTACTTGTTTTCTTCCATTTTCTTCAATTTTGTGTCAATTGTTTGTCCATTTTTGTCCGGTTCCTGGACAGCAAGTCCAAGTAAGAGTCCTGAGAGTCCTTCGGGAGTCCGGACATCAATAGCTCTCTAGACCATTTCTGGTCCA